TGAACCAGTGTTAGCCCTTGAAGTTAGAGTTGGCCACATGGACTTACACTCTGTGCTGTCTCGACTTGACAGGAGGGAGACAGGAGAAGAGCCACCAGGTGTAGCAGAGGGTGGCCTGGGGCCACGCTTTCTGCTGAGAGACGGAAATCCATCTTAAGAGCTAAGTGTCGGGCTGGGGAGACGGCTCAGAGGCTGAGAGCGCTGGCTGCTCTTCCAGAGGCCCTGAGTTCAAGTCCCAGCAGCCACCTGGTGGCTCACACTCATCTAGAATGAGATCTGACGCCCTCTTCTGGCCTGCAGGTGTACATGCAGGCATAACGTTGTATACATACTAAATAATTCTTTTTTAAAAAAGAGCTAAGTACCCCAGAAAATAGGAAGACATGGGAAAAGATAGGAGGTGGTGGGGAACAGAGAGAGAAAAGGTGACTGGAAAGACAGGCCAAGTGATGCACAATTTTAATTCTAAGAAACAGGAGGCAGGGACAAGCACATACTGAGTTCCATTCCAGCCTGTTGTACACAGTGAGTTCAGGCCAGTCAAGGCTACACAGGGAGAGCCTGTCTTAACATCAAGGTGAAGTGAGCAGAACCTAGGGTGAGGAGGCTTAATATGGGAGAAGACAGGCCAGAGGATAGCTGTCAGATACTAGGACTGAGATCCAGCACCTCCTCCTGACACCTTTACAGCCTTGGCACAGCCTCTGTCCCCCATCCTACTTGGAAATGGCCGTCTCTAAGCTTGCAGCGCTCTAGCCCATGATTAGCTCTCTCTATATATTGGACTTAGTTTAGCTCTTTGCCTCTCTGGTTCTGTTGTCTTTGGCATCAACTTAGAATGCATCTGCCTTTTGCTTGTTTCATGGAGAATAGAGCCTATACTTAGAGCTTTTAAGACTCTGAAGCTGGGCGATAGTGGCACACACTTTTAATCCCAGCACTGGGGAGGCAAAGGTATGCAGATCTCTGAATTTGAGGCCAGCCTCGTCTAGAGTGAGTCCCAGGGCTGTCAGGAAAAAAAAGAAAAAGAAAAAGAAGGAAAGAAAAGAAAAGACTTGAAGTTAGGCCTGATCTGCACCCATCCATTCCGGAAGTCAGTGGAAGCCTTCTTGGTGTTCTGATATGGACACTGTTATCCCGCACTGCACATCCAGTCCACTGTTACCTTTTCTTCTAGGTACTAGGCTAAGGAAGGCGGGTGGCAAACTCGCCATCTCCTAATCATGTGCAGGGTTCCTGCTGTCTGAGCAGTTTTTCAAAGACTGTCTTATCTCCTGCTTTTTGATTCCTGTTGTTGACGACTGAATTGGCCTCCAGTGACCTGCTGAGCTGTGGCAGACACTCTCCTTCCAAAGACAGGGCTTCTTGGCCATCCCCCTGGTATACAATAGGAAGGAAAATTATGAGCAGAATTTAGCCAGGTGATATTTGCTAGAGCTGGGCCTCAAAAAATCCGATGTTTGCAATCTTAAGTCAGTAATGTTTCCTCTACTCTGTTAATCCAGCCCTCTGACCACATTTCTGGTTGGTTCTAGGTGTGTCTGAGTGTATCATCATGGGAATCCCAATGAATATTGGAACTGGGCTCTTCAAGTTGTTGCACAAAGCCAACAGGGACCCAAAACCACCCAGGAGACCCCTGATCTTCGATACACATGAATTCCACATCCCTCTTGTCTCATAGTTTATGGCAGGAGGTCACCACTCCTGACCACCTTGTCCTGTCTGCTGCTGAATGGAAGAACCTTGTGTCACTAGAAGAGATGCCTGCATGACTTTCCCATGTCAGACATGGTCCGTGGCCTCAACAGGAGCTTTTTGGATGGAGAACTTTTTTTGAGTCTGCTTGTTAAGTGAACTGAGGGGGCCATTGCACCTCAGTCTGTCACTGCAGATAATTAATTCTAAAGTGTGCCCACACCTGCCTATTAACCAGGTCTAGGTAAACACAGGCCAGGATGCAGTCCTGGTTTCCTGTTCCTCGGTTATGTTGTATTATCCACTGATGTACTCATGTAAATACATTACTGTTATTTATTTGTTCTGTTTGAGAGGCATTCAGTGTTTGTTGTTATTTCGCTTTGAAACTAGAGGTTGTAGAACCAACAAAACCAGCTTCAAACCGCTACTGGGAAAGCAGCTAGAAATGTGAGGTCCAGTGTGGGTTGGCTAGGCCCTAGCCAGGCACTGTTCACTTGAATTTAAATGTGTTGAAAGAAAATGAAACAGAAACTTGAATTTCCTAATAATGTGAGTCACTATTGAAGGGCTCTTTAGCCTGTACGTTCCATGTGGCGACTGTCCAACATCACAAACACTCCTGAGGGAAAAGGGGGGGTTCTGCTAGGATCTCTTATGCGCAGAAGTCCTGGCAAGGTCACTTATTACTGAGAGCGGCAGTTGTTTGTCCACAGCCAGTGGCCCTGGGGAAGTATACCGAAGTTCTCATCAGGGATGTAGGTGCCTGGACTGCACCTTCTACTGAACTCTGAAGGATGGGTGTTGAGGGGGTCATATGAGGGTAAATAACCCACCAGGTTTGTTGTGGGAAGTGCAGTCTCTGATAGATTCTGTCTAGGCCCTGGAAGGGATCAGTGGGGTTGGTCTCACCACTAAAAACTTCCTGCTGGGACAGCATCACTCAGGGAAAGGCAGCGTTTGCCATAAGCACAGTACTATGCTAGCAGCAGTCTCATTTAGTCTCAGTGTGGACCAAAGGAAAGATAAGAGCAAGGTCCTTAGAATACAAAGGTCACTTCCGTTTTCTCTCCATCGTTCCAGAATGAAGAGTGGAAAAGAAAATAGCAAGTTCTTTTCAATAGAAAAGAATTGGTAAGTTAGGCCTTGTTGGTAGGATGTGTTACAGTTTTGTTTTTTGACGCAGGGTCTCATGCATTCCAAGCTGTTCTCAAGTTGGATTTGCAGGTTAACCTGGAACTTAGATCATCACACTTCCATTTCAAAGGAGCTAGGATTGCAAGTGGGGCTACCAAGGACAGTGAGGACAGCAATAGTCACTGAGCCCTGAAATTGCCACATGCTTCGGCACTCACTTTCAACTGAACCGTGTCTATCAGTCCTACCCATCCCTGGTGACTTTTTTTCTTTCTTCAGACAGCATCTCACTATGTAAGTCACACAGGCCTGCAAACAGGGCTTTGGTATCTTCGTTGGAGAGAGACCACCACACTCAGCCTGATGACTTTTTCTCTTGGTGCCTCCACTGTTTCAGTTTCCTCTGCCAACAGTTCATCGCACTGTTGCCAGCACCTTGGTGGCTTCATTCTCTGTCTGCTAAAGGCATCTGGAGACAACTTAGAAAGGCCAGGCACATGGCTTCTGTGGCTGTAACCCCTACCAAGCATCCCACATAACCAGCACTGCAGGCTCTTCCTGGATGTGCTTTCAAGCACCTGTACACATAAGACGGGACCGTTCCTCTGCCGCATTCATCCTGTTGTGAGATCTCGCTACTATTTACTTTCTCATATAGAGGAATAGGTTTGGAGGAAAGAATGAGACATTCCTGGACATGGTTTGGAAAGTAAACATTCAGTTCCTCACACGGGAAGAGCTAAGTTGTTTCTAATCAAGGCTAGAGCAATTTCTGAAAGGAGGTGGTGGCTTATGGCAATGTCCCCGGAGAGTCTCCTGGACAGGGCCCCTCAGCTAGTGGTAAGTACAAGGTGAACATCAGCAGGGTTCCCCATGACATGAGCAGTCTGTTTTCTCTACATTCTATTCTATCCTGGAGAGCTCATGGCACCCCCTGTGATGTCACTAGTGTGGCAACATCAACTGCTCTTAGGACATTCATTCCGTGCCTGTAGGTCTCATCAACAGACATGTGGGCGAGACTGTGAAGTCTCTTTGGGAAAGAGAATGTGGATGGCAGAGAATCCAAAGAGAGGCAGAAGGCAGTTGGCCTTCCATCTCATTTAAAAAATAACAAGAAAGAAGTTGTCCTGGGGAAGGCACAGTGAGTCCTGAGCAGGGGATGGGGAGCCTCCTAGAGGAGGTGGGCTTGAGGTGGGAGCCACAGTTATGGGGCAGTGGAACAGGAGGCTCTGGGAAACAATGGACGTCCCTGCTTAACATAGGTCATGAGTGAAGGGTTCCAGAACATTCTTTTGTCTGTCCCAAAGCCAGTAAGCAGCCAAGGTCAAAGCTGTTTTACTGTAAGTTTTTAGCTTTACTCTTATTGGGCATTTGTGGTGTGACATGGGGACAAAAGGAGAACATTAGTGGTCAGCGAGGGTTAACACTTTCCAGTGTAGGGCAGGGCAGCACTGGACTTCACTCTCACAGGTTTCTTTCAGGTGCTGTAGCTATCTGACAGTAGCTATAGGGACAGAAATGTCCTCCTGGCTATGACCTTATGGACTCATAACTCCTCTGACCACCTGTCTTTGACAGTGGCACCCTTAGGTTTCTGAATCGGTAGTTGGTGGCAGTCATTTCTGTAATACAGGCAAACTTGTCAGAGGCAGTGGACCACAGACTGAATCATTATTGCCAGCTCTGGAGTGTTTTGGTCTGTCTCTGGGGAGAATTATTCACTCTGTGTCTCTAAAGCACCTGAGTGCTTTTGGACTCTGCCGTTATTCTCCTGGCTTCTGAAACCACAGACTTGAGAACTCAGAAGCCAAGTTGCATCTTGGTGGTTCATGAAGAAGCCTAAAGAGGCCATCTCTGTGGTCGCCTGAAGCACGTGTAGGGAAGCAGAGGAAATACCTGGCTGCTTAGATACCCACTTCTTAACAGTGAAGGCAGATCTGAGATACAGAGAGCAAGCATCTCGGGCTTAGGCCCAAACCTTTAAAATCTTGTCACTGGCAAGATTTAAAATCTTGTCACTAGGCATGCTCTATTTCTGTCCATCCTCTGTGCCTTCTCACGATGCAAGTTCACTTTTGTTCTTACAGGAGCCAGTGAGGAACCACCATCCTCCACAAAGCTCCCCTCCAAGAAGCAGGTGAAGAAGGAAATGGAGAGGCTGACCACTCAGCTGCAGGGAGAGAAATGAGCTGTGTGATCACCTGATCCTCGTCACAGAAGGATCCTTGGACAATAGGTATCCATTATTTCAAACCCCGTGGTGTCAGTCTTGGGTCTGCAAAGTCACCCTCATCTAATCCTTTAAAGGATACCTCCAGGGTGTCATGTCCGTAGATGCTTCCCAGAGGAGAGGCAGGAAATTAAGCTTGGGCACGTGTGACATCTGGAAAAAACACTTAAGATTCTTCCAAATGAAACCATGAGCCTGTGCTCTGAGTCAAACAACACAGGGATTGAAGCAGTGGAGAGTGAGTTCCCAGCATGCATTTGGAAAGGCATTGATAGGTGTTGGTTTGTGTGAGATCTAGCTGCTGTGAGTTAGATATGAAATTTTCACTTGCCTGCCAAGTGATTTAATGATGGAAGCTTTTGTTAGTATCTGAAGTGCCTTGATCCCACTTGGTCTATCTCAGTGTAGGACAGGAAGGCCTAGAGCTCCACACTGTTCATCTCTATCCTGTGTCTTATAATCTTTAGACAATAAATGAGATGCAATTTTTCAGCATCCCACTTTTCTTTCTGTCTCGCCTTCTCTGACTCTTCATCTTTCTGTCACGTGTGTGTGTGTGTGTGTGTGTGTGTGTGTGTGTGTGTGTGTGTGTGTGTGTGTG